TGTACAAAAATTATGAAACTTCAACAAACTTTACCAATTACATTACACCCAAAAGTTTTCCAATTTAGTAATTTTTTTTTAGTCATCCTACTAAAATTTAATTTTGCCGAACGTGTTGCAATTTTCCCACACAAATAAATTGCGTTTATTCGTTATATGGAAGCCAATACGACAAAAAAAAAAATCTGAAAAATCAACGGCACTTGCAACTGACACATGACTGGACTAAAACTAAATGGGCTATGAAACTCTATACTCAAACAAATCTGACACTTTTGAGAAAAAAGTTTTAAATTTGGGTGAAAATTTGTTGCATTTTTGTACCGCTGTAATGGATTAATCGAGCGTTCCTAAGATGGGCACGGACATTACCTTTTATCTCAATAAAGAAGACCTCAAAATCATGTAATAGCAACTCTGAAAAATGTACGATAAAAGATGAATTTTAAGAACTCCTGTGGCGGGTAAATCTATGAGGTTCTGGCTCGGGTTCGGGTTCGCGAGAACTTATATTTTTATTTGGTCGTTTGCAATTTGTCCATTTTTTTTATCGGCACAAAGCAAGCAAACTTATTTTCTTTTAAGTTTATTCTTTTCCGCCGTGGTGTAATGGTAAGCAGTGCGCGCTTCCACTCCGCAGCGCCTTGGTTCAAGCCCTGGTCAAAGCAACATCGCAAAAAAAATTTAGAAAAAAGGTTTTTTCTAAACAGCGGTAATCCCTCGGCAGACAATGGTAAAATCTCCGAGTGTATGCCATGAAAAACAGCTTCTAAATACAACATACGATTTTCATGAAACTTTGTGAGTACGAAAAAACTAGTTTTCTAAAAGATGATATGAAATTAAACAATTAAAAATTTAAATTTTTAAATAAATTTTGTTTAAATTTCTGTTGTGATTTTTATCGTGTTTAGGTGTCAAAATGTTCCTCACAATATTATTTGCTAATGTGCTCAAAAAAATTTTTGAGCAACTATATGACTCTTGAGATATTACATTTTTTAACATATGCCAACCACTATTTATGGGTTAAAGCCCCATATATATGGATTTCCAGGTTTACTCAAGAATTTTTTCCTGCTTGACCTTCAACTGACCAGAACCTAGCGTGATGGAGGCTAACGTTACGTTTTGATGTTACTATAAGGATACTGTTTCAGGGCTTATATATCTAGGATCATTGAAGAAGGCTTTAAGATCTGTAAGCTGTTGTGGAAAAAATTTGCCAAATATTTTTTGTCCCGTATTCGGCTTTCATTAATATGGTCATCGTAATCATGGCCCCTCGCTTAAGACATGCTCGGCAAGTCATGTTTT